GTGTGTGTGTGTGTGTGTGTGTGTGTGTGTGTGTGTGTGTGTGTGTGAAAGAGAGAGCCATACAAGGAGCAAAAGAGATCTTAAGCAAGGAGGCATGACGAGAGGAGAAGAAGGGCAATGGAATACAAGTAATAGAAAACAAAGGGGAAGAGTATTTGGGATGGAAAATGGAAGCAGGAAGATGGGCGCGGTGGGAGTAGAGGAGGATAATTGCATATGTGCATAAAATGCCACAAGGAAATACCCTGCTTTGTAAGCTGAATTTTAAAATGAATTTTCATAAAACAGAACAAGAAAATCCTTCAACAAACATTTACTAACCGTGTTTGAGCATTGCTATAGAAACGGATAAGGAGTATGTGTCGAGATCCTTGTTTGACTCTTGGAGGATGATAAAGGGTAGAAGACTGAGGGAAACAATGTGATGGGAAGCAGCAGGTTCTGCTATCAGAACAGTGACATTTAGGCTAAAATTGGAATGTGAGGAAACATGCCTTACAAGGGAAGAGCTTTTCTAGACGGGAAGAAACTCAGCAGGTGGCAAACACGTAATGAGCAAGGAAGACAGGACCACAAAACAGGCTCAGAGAGTAAAGTGTCATTACCATTTTTAAAATGCTACTTCAACTACTCCATAGAGCATGTATTGTAGAAAAACAGTATTCCCAGGCAGAACTCAAATGGGAGATGACGCTGCCTGGATAGGTGTTAGGAGAAAGATTATGTATCTACCATGTGTTTTGAACCATATTTTTGGCTACTCATACCTGCCTACAGCATAGCTTTGAGGAATAAGGCTGACTTATAGATAATTGATTTGCACAACTGAGTAGGTTCTGATGTGAAAGGGACTGCAAAAGGAACCTTGAACGGGCTGTGTTCTGTTTGGCACGCACAGGCACACTGGTTCTCAGTGTTTTATCAAGCAGCATACCTTCCTCTACTGATATTTATAAAAAAATTAATAGTATCTTGACAGGTAGGGATGCTAAATCTACTGTTTACATCGCAGACCCTGTTTTCATGAGACCCATTGCCCTCCATGCATACTGGCTTAGACAAAGCTGTATATTGGAGAATGATGAATTAGCTAATACAGCCATGGGGTTCAACACTATTGGGCAAGTACATCTCTCACCTTCAAATATTAGAGTATTTCAAAGGTTAAAACACTGAACAAAGAGATGGAGCAAAGGTAAAAAAAAAAAAAAAAAAAAAAAAAAAAAAGCAAATTGCCTGATAACTGAAAAATTATTCTTGTGCGCTAACTCTTGTACAGTGACTGGGGTGGTGTGAGGATGCATTTCCTAACTGACACGGGCAAGCTCGCCTACATGAAAAACGTTCTTGTTTCCACCTCCAGCCTTTACAGTTCCTCAAACAATAATGTCACAAAGAACAGCACAAGAGATGAAAACAGCTGACCCAAAATTGTGCTTCCAATATCCGCGAGTGCCAAAGAGCTTGGAGTGTTCTGCAGATCGGGGGACAACAAGTCTAAGATTAGAGATTGGGATGTAAAAATAGTACCTCACATAACTATTTCTCAGCAATGATTTCACTATTGCTCCATCATTATTACCTCATATGTGCTCTGCGCTTCATACATCTTCCTATGGTTTAATCAATTTAGACTACAGGCCTACATGGAGGGTTACTGTACAAATGAAAAGAATTCATGCTTGGAAAATGTGGCAGACAGAATTGCACAGTGGAGTGTAAATCCAAGACCTGACTGTAGGTCTAGTTAACTTCAAACCTTTAGTGCTGCCCTACAGCTTTTATACTTACTAGATTCATTTCTGACGACATAGAATGTGGCAATACAGCTTTTATTTGCTGCTATTGTAAAGCGGCAGGTTATGAGCTAAATGAACCCATGGGGATGAAGGATCTTCCTATTCCATGACTACACAGATGGAAATACATCCTTGTTTAAAATGAAAATAGAAGAGTTGAACAGATCTCAAACATACAAGCTGCTATGGCAAATTGGGTTTCTTTTTGTTTTGCTAGGTTGTATAATAGAAGTATCTTTTAAAAAATGCATGTCTGCATTTTGTCTTGCTGCACCCCCTCCCCCACCAGGGAAGATAATAGAGAGCCTGTCACTGAGTTCATGTCAGAGACAGCCACTGTTCCCTTTACTAGGGACCTCCCTTGGAGAGACTGAGCTGCCATGGGCTACATATGAGCAGAGGTTTTATGTCCTCTCGATGCATGGTCCTTGGTTGGAGTATCAGTCTCTGCAAGGCCCCAAAGCAGCCAGTCCTGATGAGTCCTGATAGACTAGGGTCAGGTAGAAGGGGAGGAGGGCCTCCCCTATAAGTGGACTATGGGGGGCCATATGGGGAGAAGAGGAAGGGGAGGATGGGATTGGGAGAAGAAGACAAGGGAGGGGGCTACACCCACGATGCAAAATGAGTAAATTGTAATAAATAATAATAATTAATAAAAAGTGCAAAAAAACTGATTCACATGAGCTGTGTTAGTATTCAATAATATTTATTATTTTCTACCTTTAAAAAGTGCATGTCTCCTGAGTTTGAGGATGGTGTGAAAACTTGCTTAGCAGAATAGTAAATGGGATTTGGACTCATTTTCATTAAAGGTATTATAATTATTGATGCCACACTATGACTTAAGTCACTGCCACCACACACACACACACACACACACACACACACATGCGCGTGCATGACAGACCATGTACGAGAAAACTACTATTAACACAACCTTTCTGTATGTAGACAGTGTACAGACTGCTGTATATACAGACCACAATTTACAGAATATAACATTCCATTACGCAAGGCAACATAGGAGTATAGTTCTAACAGTGTATGTCATTAAGACATTTATTTCCACATTACAAAAATTCTGATAGTTATCCTTTATAAATATCTAAATTAAAGGCCTGATTTGAACAGGAGAATGATTTTTAGACCCTCAAATTCCAGGCTGATGTAACTGGATTGTTCTGGAGCAGCTATGCCATATAATGCATAATTTATGAAAATTATTGTGATGACAATATTATTTTATTTTGAACAAGATGCAAATATCAGACTGTAATATATGCTGTGGATGCTGAAGTTGTGAAAAGAACATGAGAAATTAGATTAAGAAGCATAAAAGTTGGGTTAAATGGAAGAAAAGCAATCACTCACCCTGTGTAGGCAATGGAGAAATAGGCTATAATTTTCCACAGTTGAGTTTGTTTAAGACCATTCCAAACCCCAATTAGAATTGATAGGATTATGGAGAGAATAACAGGATTAATGTTAATTAGTTCGTGAATTTAGAATAGAATTGATAATGGGGAGATTTTTTTTTTGTCATGTAAGAAGGATTAGGCCAGTTTGGAGTGAAATGCCTTTTGCTACCTCTAGCAATTAACTGAATATTAAAAAGCAACAGTACTACCATAGCAACTATCCATTGTTATAATAGTTCTGTTTAATTTATCCTTTCACATATGCCTGATTTATGCCAACTCACCACTTTTCCAGCATCCAATAACATTAAAATGTTTTATATATTATTAATAATATATATTGTATATATAAGCTTTTTATAGCTAACAAATCCACTGATAAAGAATAAAAGTCTGCTTCACTCTTACTTCTGAAGCACATCCTTTAAGCATCAATTTATTTTCACAACAGACAACATGAAGCAAGCTTATAAATGTGATAGTCACATCTATTATACCAAGAGCACCTCTATAAATGTGATGTTAAGTATGCAATGATTCAAGAAACTCATTACCCATGAAAGATGGACATGAGTATTATTACATCTTCAGGTGATTATACTGCAAATATCACATTATTGTTCATGATTCCTAAATGAAATAAATGTGTGAAAATAACAGCTATCACTTACTATAAGACAGATAGATGCAACTGTACTAAGTACAAGATGTCCTTTTTAAAATGTTTCACCAAAGAGTGTCTCAAATACCAGTCCAACACCCATCTCCTATATGTCTGCTCCTTCTGAGACCACAACAGCCGGGACAAGACTGACTGATCAGGTCAGGTGATAGGCTGGGTCCATCATCACTCCATCCACAAGGAGGCGCTAACAGA